GGACGGACGGACGGACGGACGGACGCACACAGGGCAAAACATAAGTCCCCGTTTTCGGACTGCGTCCGAACGGGGACTAAAAAATATATTCGCTGGATTTCATTTTCACAGAATCATCCCTTCAGCGAAAACAGCGAAAATAAATTCTAAGCGAAAAATAAAGTATTCCACAGTATCTGTGTAGCTTTTTAAAACATCAACTTTTGTCGAACCTTTCACAAAATAAACCTGCATAATTGTATAGCATACTTCTTCAAATTCATCCAGAAAGGTAGTCAAAGAAGAATCATGTTTATTTGGTCCAAAATCCAAAGAAATTACTAGTATTGAAAATGCATCCAAGTTTTTAAACAAATTTTGCACCAGAAAATAAAATAAATAAACTTACCAACTCATCTTCGCAATTTGCATTCAATATTACGCTAAATTCATCCACTCGTTTGTAAGTGTTGCCGTTCATTATGAAGAGAACAGCACAATTCCTGTTATCTGAAAATACAACAAGCGTCTGATGAGCCAAAAAATAAACATTTGACTAAAAACGGTATCGCTATAGAGATGACCATTAATTACATTCAATTTAAAGGCACATACTCAATAGAAGAGAATTTAAACATTAACATCCTTTTAATCACATGTATACCATTTATGTACATTTGTAAGCACATAAATGCCTGTGAACGAATATGCACCTGAATTGACTGAGCCATTGGGTCAAAATTGTATACTGTGAAAAATACTTTATTTTAGCTGGAATTAATTTTCATTGAAAAAAAAAAAAATATTTTGGGATGTTTTGAAGTTTAATGTAAAACATAGGAACATTTCCTCAGCGAAAATTTTTATAGAACATATTGTACAGTATATTATATAATTTTTATGGGCAATTAAAAAAAAAATGCCATTATCTCACAAGATGGTTTTATGGACAAAAGTGATTCTATTCTCTAATAGTATGATTGATCATTATTGGATTGATCATTATTGGTAACAGGTTGTAATACAGGAAATGTAAAGGTACATTGTACATAATAACTATTGACAAGCAAGAACTGGAACTGGCAAAAATATTATATAGTTTAGATCTACTGTTACAAACAATGCTAAATTAAAAAGAGAAATCTAAATTTGATTTTCCGTGTAATATGCGAGAGACATGGAACAAACATTTGTCGGAAAAGAACAAGATGATAGCTTAGAAGGGAATGGATGGATGATCAGAGAGGGGACAGAAGCAGCAGTTAAGAACTAATTGAGATGCTTATGACAGATTTATTGAGAAGCTGTGTCCATTCTTGGGTGTACTAAAGAGCTGATAATGAAGTCCTTGTTATCAAAACATATCAAATACATTTGCACAAACGTCCACTGCTGTGTGCTTCCGAGAGATAAATTCAGTATTAAACAGCGGCTACTCAATCCCAAGGATTGCACCAGTATGTATCAGAGAACACAATTTGAATGGTTCACTATGCATCATCTTATCTTGTTTTCTGAAATCTTTTGTACACCATTGTCTGACTAGTTAAAAGACACATTGTCATGAACAGTTTGGAATATTACTCCTACTGTAACAAGTAACGATTGACAATCAGAAGATTTTAAAACTTGCCTCATCAACAGTTTGATTGAAAATTATGCTAAATCCTGTGCAACTAGTAAACTATATCGATGACATCACATTGATAATTGTATGTAAAAAATGTTTACTTCATTTATTTTGATATATTATAAACAAGCCATGCATGGCACAGTTTCTATTAGTTATCAAATTTAAGATATATAGTTTTGTTTTTAGTAATATAGTTGGAACATAAACATGTCACCCCAAGACCAAGTTCTGGAATGCAAGAAATGCGTGATTTTCGATGATTTTTTAGCACAAAATGGCTGCCATTTGGCCATTTTGAATCAGATAGTCAAACCAATATATCTATGTTATGATGTATAATGAATATATAAAATTTGATCATAATTAGTCAAAGCATGGCAGAGATATGGCGCTAGAACTGCATTCATCAAAAAAAACAAAATGGCTGCCAGTCAAGTTGAATTAATAAAAATTACATTATGATGTACAACAAGAATATTTGCTTTTTATTGTTTTCTGATCTCAATTATTTTATTTACTAACACTCAAATAAATCCAGTGAGTACTCGGAATTAACTGGAAATCAATAGGTCATTACACTTTACTATACACCACTCCATCAATACCTAGTTACATGTACAATGCTAGTATTATCTTACGGCCAGTAATTGACCACATATTGGACTGAGTAGATGAAAATGCTGTCAATCAAAAACAGTAGGGATTGAGTAAGTATTGGGAATTTCGTATGCCTAGGATTTAAATTAGCCAATAATTAATTTTGTTATCCTCATATAATCCACCTATCTGCATCTGCAAGAGTACACGTATTTTACAAAATAGGACAATTTTAGTTTTTACAATTACATGCAAATCTGTTAGATTTTCAATAGTTGAATAAACTATCACAGTATTCAGTAAAGATATACTGTAAAACAACCTATTTTCACTATTTTGATGTTTTCAGCATATTCACTGGGTTTTAATATAACAAATTTGTCAAGGAAACAACAAGTTTTATTTTTATTTTACATGTTCACATTGATTTAATTTAGCAAAGTTTACTTATCAGCAAAATTAAAATCCAGTGAATAATTAATGCATTTACAATATTTTATAAAAACACCAATTAATAAGATCAATCAATCAAAGGAGAGAACCTCACGGTGCTCCATAATGTTCAACACTAAAACGAGCCTAGGTTACTTGCACTCATACACGTACACATACATATACCGGTAGTTGCCATGGTTTATAGACACATTATTAAATAAGTCATTAACAACAAAGTAAGTCTTGATTTACTTTTAAATTTCAAAACAAAAATGCTATTGTTATCGGCACAAATTACACCATCAATCAGAGGAAGAGAGTGAAGCATTATGGGTATTAAAAAAAGCAGGAAGTGCGAGAATAAAAAATAATTGTTTATGCAGTGATTATTACAGTAAATTAATAGGTAATCAAGTAAGTGAATTCACAACATAAGGCCTATTGCGAAAAAATGTTTTAAGACAAGATATACATGTATACATAATGTAGCCATGCTAGTTCAAACTATAACATCTACCTGCTTTAGCATCATGATTCGCATTCTCTTATAATGCAATACGTTGGCCGATTTGGAATTAATATCATTTATACAAATTTTACAAGTACATAAGCAAATGCCATCCATTAAGTTAGAAATAAACATTGAAAAAATATTTATAAAAAACTGAAAAAAATAATGGCATACAAATGTGATATTTTGTTGTTGTTGGCACTCTGCAAATTGTGCATTACTGTCGCTGAATTAATAAAAAATCTGAAGGATATTGAGTATGCAAGTTAATAAAATTATAAATATGTAAAGTATAAAAATAAATAGGCGCTTATTAACCAACCATCATTATTCATAACATCTGGTGCACATATCAACAGTTCTGCTACATTCACATGTTGGTACAATGGTTTTACATGTCACGCATGGCGTCAACAATGTAACACTGAGACTTTTTTATTTTGAATTATTCATTAGGGAATTGTAGCAGTAGCACGGAAAACAATTTTTTTAATTTAAATCATCTTTTTTAAGAGTGCAAAATATTCAGCAGCTTTCACAACGTTTTTAATGCTATTAATCAACTATTATTAACTTCAGATATTAATGTGCTAAGGGACAAGAATCATTGCAAATGTACTCATTAAATAGTAACTTTTATATTCAACTTTGGTCTAGGCGAATTTGATTTTGCATGCTTGAGTGTCAATTGTCAGTCATGTATAAAGATTTGTATTTGCCACACACCTAACATCTTTTGCTACATTGATGATTTTAACTAATGTGTATTTCATAGTTCATTTTGTTTTTATTTATGCAATTTTTTCATTAAATATCAACAGGTTCAAAATTTAAATTCAGCAAATAAAAACAGCCCCCCCCCCCTCAAAGAAAAAAAACGAAAAAAGTATATATTCTGAGCTTCTGTGACAATGCAAGAATGTCTTTTATAATCTACCGGGTAGTTTATGAATTAAGCAAACATTTGTAATGGTAGTACATGCATAATAGTTGCGATCATTAAAATGAGTTGCCATAGTAATTAGTAAATTAATACTTAGAGGTTTAAGGAAAAATATTTAGACTATAATTCTAATCGAATATGAATCCATGACCAGATGGTAAAACTATGACAAATTCTATCACTTCATTTTTCATTGCAAGGGTTATTTAAGACAATTTGAAATACCGTAAAATCTTTATTAGTAGTCGCATCCCTAATAGAAGTCGCCCCATTCTTTTAGAATAATTGAGAACCAAAAATTCATCATTTCTCACATGTGTAGGTTCCCCAATAGAAGCCGCATCGCCTCTATTACATTGTATCATTTTAATAGAAGCTGCAGCTAATATTGAATGAGGAATTTATTTTCACTGAAAAAAATTTGTTGGTGTTTTGTATGGAGCTTATTTTCACTGTTTTTTGATGAGGTGAATGTAAAATATAGAAAAAAAACACGTTATTTTTGCTGGATTTTATTTTTACTGATTCACCCTCTACAGTAAAAATAAATTAATGTGAGTATTTACAGTGCATGTGAAAGGAAAAAACTAATAATGGATTATTTATATAGCAAATAATTGATTAAAGGGGACTCGAACCACAACAAATTATGTGGCAGTATACCTCAATTTAAAGGTGGAATCGTTTTTCACCAAAACATACTGGCCTGAGCAGAAAAAGATTGTTTAATCAGCTTAAAGCAAGCCTAGATGTGAAGTACTGCAGTGTGCAGGAAATATGAACACAGTGTACATAAATTATACACACGTTAACATCATGATTTGTTTTCACAGACAGCTGAAAACGCTATGTTATTGCTGCTGCATTGTCTAATGCCACAAGTTAATCTACTATACACTTGATGAATGGTTGTGCTAAACAGATTGATAATTGTACATAGCTGCTATATTTACAATTTTATGCTACAAAACATTAAATCCAGTGGAAAGTATTCAAAAATAGTTTTTCTGGCTTATTAATTACAGAATCATTTTTCCCTCACAAAATTATAACAATATAACTATTACAAGTAGGTTATATGCATTGCATCAGTTCTAAAGGTCACACATCCTGGTACTAATGGGCAAAAAAAAAAACTTTATGGAGGCAAACTAAGGTATAATATTAAAAATTGTTACAGTTATAAGACAGCAATACCAACGGAAAGTACCAGGATGTGTGACCTTTAGAGGTCAGAAATAAGGTCTTGACAGTATAACGAGTTACCAACAAGTCTTGTCCTTACGAATACCATATTTGTTCTATTAGAAGCACATCTCCAATAGAAGTGTACATCAACTCAAAAGTTGCATTTATTATACACTGGATTTTTGCAATACAACGTATTTTTC